TGTATGTCATAATACAGGGGAATATTCAGGATTATACATTCACCATGCAAGGACTGCTTACATAACAATGGTCTTTTAAGCCAGGGTTTCTTATATTGAAATATATAGTATTTTAATTTTCTCTGCCATAGGCAGAGCAGTTCCAGAAGGATCCAAATGGGTAATTATTGAATCAGATATGTCACCATCATTTCATAGCTTTTAGCTATGAGTCTATCCATCAATGAAAATTTATTCTGGCTAACACTCTATTTTGTAATTTTATACCAAATAGGGCCAAATTTTTGAAAAAAGAGGTTTATTAAGGTTTTTAATATTTTGGATGCCAAAATATCTAAAATTATGATGGCATATGGGGATATTTAATTATTTAAAAACAAATGTTTTGGTGCTTCAGGGCTCAATGAAAACTCAAACTCTGATTTCTTAGAATTTACTCAAGTCCTGCCACCATTTTAAATGCTTCTAATTCAGCAAGCAATGGTTACATGGCTTCTAGCGGTATCCCTGTGGTTATATCAATGTAATCAGTGTGTGTGTGTGTGTGTGTGTGTGTGTATATATATATATATATATTTGCTTTCGTAGATTTTCACGGGTACAGGAATGCAGGTTTTGGTGTCCTCGGGTGTCTTCCCGTGTAAAAGTTGGGGTGTCTAGGCGACGTTTCGACGAGGTCTCACTCGTCATCTTCAGGCTGGTGCTTTCGGCTTCTTGTTACTGGAACAGAGCAGGATCTCAGTGTTTGAGTTCCTATAAATACTGTTGAGGGGGTGTGGTGTATAGCCTCCAATGTTCTGGGCAGAGAGGAAGTTCCCAGGTTAGTGTGCCTTTTCTTCTTTTGTTCCTTAATTACTTGAGGGATATCTTGAGTGATTTCTTGAGTGATATCCTGAGTACCACTTAGGTGGGTCATTAGGTGTGGATTAGTTGCTAAAGCCTTCGTGTCTTGACCTCTTGAACTTTGTGAAGAGTTTTTCTGAGAAGATGGCTGTACTGCACTTAGTTGTGCTCTGGCTTGGCTTCGTGTATAGGGGCGAGCTGTGGTTTTGTGTCCTGTGCCAGCCAGATCTGTGTAGGGATTGCAGGGGGGTGCAGCATCCGGAGGTGCCACCATGGTTTGGCTACTGGATGGTGTCTGTAATTTATCTGTGGAGAGGGTCTGGGTTTGGGTCTGGTGTGGTTGATTGGTGATGGCGTTCTGTGTGCCTCTGGATCTGGTGTCGGTTTTTGTGGGGAGGGCTAATTTCCAGATGTCTGGCAGGCGGGATGTGTCGTCACGCTTGTTCATGTTGTGAGGGTGTTTCTCTATCTCGATGGCTTCCATGATTATTCTCTTGTGGTGATGTTCCATGTTAGAGAGCAATTTGGAATCTGCAAAATTAATTTCGTGTCCTGTTTCTTTCATGTGTTGGAAAAGAGAGGAAGTTTTTTCTTCTTTTTTGACGGCATTCTTGTGTTCTGCGATACGTGCATTTATTCGTCTGTTTGTTTGTCCAATGTACGTGGCTGGGCAGACTTTGCAGGGTATTTCATAGACCCCTTGGTTTTCCAACTGGATTTTATCCTTGGGGTTTCTGAGGATATTGGCTATTTTTTGGTTGGTGCAAAAGGCTGTTTTGATATTGTGTTTATGGAGGATTTTGCTGATTTTATCTGTAGTGCCCTTGATATAAGGAAGGAGGGCCATGCCATTGTTTTCTTCTGTGTCTTGGTTTTTGGGGGGTGTTTCTTTTTGCATTAGCTTCGTAACCCTGTTTTGCTGGTATCCATTGGCGATTAACACATTGGAGAGATTCTGTAACTCAGTTGTCAAGTGGTCTTTGTCAGCCAGGCGTTTGGTTCTGGAGATGAGAGTCTTGGCTACGGAGTTTATTTGTGCAGGGTGGTGGTGTGATTGTGCATGTAAGTAGCGGTTGGTGTGTGTTTTTTTCCGGTAGATAGTGTGTCCTAGGGAGCCATCAGGTTTTTTGTAGATTAGGACGTCAAGGAAGGGAAGTTGGTTGTTGGCTTCTATTTCCATAGTGAATTGTATTTTGGGGTGTAGGCTGTTGAGATGTGTGAGGAAGCTATCTAGTTTTTCCTTCCCGTGTGGCCAAATTACAAATTACAAATTACAACAGCCTACACCCCAAAATACAATTCACTATGGAAATAGAAGCCAACAACCAACTTCCCTTCCTTGACGTCCTAATCTACAAAAAACCTGATGGCTCCCTAGGACACACTATCTACCGGAAAAAAACACACACCAACCGCTACTTACATGCACAATCACACCACCACCCTGCACAAATAAACTCCGTAGCCAAGACTCTCATCTCCAGAACCAAACGCCTGGCTGACAAAGACCACTTGACAACTGAGTTACAGAATCTCTCCAATGTGTTAATCGCCAATGGATACCAGCAAAACAGGGTTACGAAGCTAATGCAAAAAGAAACACCCCCCAAAAACCAAGACACAGAAGAAAACAATGGCATGGCCCTCCTTCCTTATATCAAGGGCACTACAGATAAAATCAGCAAAATCCTCCATAAACACAATATCAAAACAGCCTTTTGCACCAACCAAAAAATAGCCAATATCCTCAGAAACCCCAAGGATAAAATCCAGTTGGAAAACCAAGGGGTCTATGAAATACCCTGCAAAGTCTGCCCAGCCACGTACATTGGACAAACAAACAGACGAATAAATGCACGTATCGCAGAACACAAGAATGCCGTCAAAAAAGAAGAAAAAACTTCCTCTCTTTTCCAACACATGAAAGAAACAGGACACGAAATTAATTTTGCAGATTCCAAATTGCTCTCTAACATGGAACATCACCACAAGAGAATAATCATGGAAGCCATCGAGATAGAGAAACACCCTCACAACATGAACAAGCGTGACGACACATCCCGCCTGCCAGACATCTGGAAATTAGCCCTCCCCACAAAAACCGACACCAGATCCAGAGGCACACAGAACGCCATCACCAATCAACCACACCAGACCCAAACCCAGACCCTCTCCACAGATAAATTACAGACACCATCCAGTAGCCAAACCATGGTGGCACCTCCGGATGCTGCACCCCCCTGCAATCCCTACACAGATCTGGCTGGCACAGGACACAAAACCACAGCTCGCCCCTATACACGAAGCCAAGCCAGAGCACAACTAAGTGCAGTACAGCCATCTTCTCAGAAAAACTCTTCACAAAGTTCAAGAGGTCAAGACACGAAGGCTTTAGCAACTAATCCACACCTAATGACCCACCTAAGTGGTACTCAGGATATCACTCAAGAAATCACTCAAGATATCCCTCAAGTAATTAAGGAACAAAAGAAGAAAAGGCACACTAACCTGGGAACTTCCTCTCTGCCCAGAACATTGGAGGCTATACACCACACCCCCTCAACAGTATTTATAGGAACTCAAACACTGAGATCCTGCTCTGTTCCAGTAACAAGAAGCCGAAAGCACCAGCCTGAAGATGACGAGTGAGACCTCGTCGAAACGTCGCCTAGACACCCCAACTTTTACACGGGAAGACACCCGAGGACACCAAAACCTGCATATATGTATATATATATATATCCCTTACCCTGCACTGTATTTAAATGTTTGGATGACCTTATACTTTTATTGCCACAGATCACTTCCTGGTGGCAAGCAAAATCCTTCTCCAGCCATAGAGGGCCCACAGCACAAAACAGAAAAGGTGGCCTCAAATCAACACTGCCAGAACAGCCATACCTAAACTTTGTGAATTATTCTCTGATTCCATTGAACAAGCTCTACTGAACTGCCCCAGTGTCGAAGCAAGGTGGAACCACATCAAAGAGGCAAGCTATAACATGGCTATGCCTTCTTTTGACAAACGAGAGCAGCAGATCGCCAACTGGTTTGAAGCCAGCATTAAGGATTTAGAATAGAACCATGTCTCCGGCAACAAGTCACTGGGTGTCATTGAAAAAGTGATGCAGGTGGGGAACTAAAATATCTTTAAACTTTTTGTAAAATAACCCTGTACCTGGCGACTTGTTGAGCTGCCTAATATAGCTTCTACAGTCAAACCTCGGATCCCGAACGCTTCTGTTTTGGAACGTTTCAGCTCCCGAACGCCAAAAACCTGGAAGTAAATGCTCCAGTTTTCGAAGGTTTTTCAGAAGCCGAATGTCCGACGCAGCTTCCACTTGGGTGCCGGAAACTCCTGAAACCAATTGGAAGCTGTGCCTCGGTTGTTGAATGTTTCAGAAGCCGAACGAGCTTCCGGAACAGATTACGTTCCACAACTGAGGTTTGACTGTACGACCTCAACCACTGTTATTTGCACATATAAGGAGCTACTAGTTATTCCAGCAGAGAAAGTGGCACAGAATGACTAACGCTGGATACAACCTGTTGCCCGTATAGGGCATTTGTACCAACTGCAAGAGATCTTATTCCGCACCAAATCACAGAAAGACAAAGAATCAATGGCCACTCTCTTGGAAAGTACAGTGGTACCTCGGGTTAAGTACTTAATTTGTTCCGGAGGTCCGTTCTTAACCTGAAACTGTTCTTAACCTGAAGCACCACTTTAGCTAATGGGGCCTCCTGCTGCCCCTGCGCCGCCGAAGCACGATTTCTGTTCTCATCCTGAAGCAAAGTTCTTAACTTGAAGCACTATTTCTGGGTTAGGGGAGTCTGGAACCTGAAGCGTATGTAACCCGAGATACCACTGTATGAACATTAGCCATTATTTGGATTGATCTCTAGCACCAACTGAAACACAAGGGCTGCCTTGTAAGGCATAGGACAGAATCTCCCCACTAATGCCATATCCCCCTAATGGGACTTGTAAGACATTTCAGAAGGCCAAATATAGGAGCAAAAAACCTAAACAGCTGCATTTTGATTCCTCAAGCATACGAAACCAAAAGAGCTTCTTCACATTATGGCTCTCTGGGGATTAGAGCTCAAATAATGCATAAAAAAAGAGAGGAGAGGCTGACCAGATGCTCACTTACGTGTTTAAACGAGCCATGAGGTGCTGCTGTTGCTCCTGTATCTTCCAAATACTCCTCCCAATTGAATTCTGCTTCTTCCACACCTGATCCTGCATCTGTAATAAGCCAGAAAAAAACACACAGTAGCTTTTAGGAGAAACACCGGTTTGCTACTTTAAATTCCTTACTTGTGAAGGGGTTGCTTTGGAAATACACTAAATGAGTATATTAAAAGCCAGATGGACACCTTGTTTGTTAATACAGGTTTAGGGAACCTAATAAAACTATGCAAATATTCTGATGTATAATGCAACCAGCGATAAGGATTGTCAACAAATTCCAGAATACTGGGAGTGGGAGACTACTTAAGATTGTACAAAGTACAGTGAGAAATTTGACGCTATAGATGCCACCTGTCCTGATCCAAGCCACTTATGTTAGCAGCCAGTGTGAATTACTGAAGCCCCATGTTGATTCGGCGTCCTTGACACCCAAGATGTACTGAGGGTACTTCGGTAAGAAAAACCACTTGAAGAGGTACAACACGTATCAAAAGTAATTGGAATTCTGTGAAAAATAGGAACTATCTGCATGTTAAATGGGCTGAAAGCTCAGCCAAAAACACGGAACAGCAATCAAGAAAATGGCAGGAGGAAAAAAAAGAACATTACAGTAAAAGCTTAGGTGGTGGTCACTAAGCAACTTGCAAATACATGAGGAGAGGGCAGCAGCTCCTTCACAAACACATTTGATTTGTGACTTATGTCTGTAAGTAGTACACCCTTGATTTAATATGTGACAGGATCAATCCTTAAACAGATATATAGCTCACAAGGCCTGGCTGGGCTCTCTTTCCTTAACAGCTATATGTAACGTTCTCCACTCCAAAAGTAATGCCTCACGGATGAGTAGATGGGCTTCATTAGCTAAGCTCAGACTGACTATACAGTTGGTGTCAGATTTTGCAGTTACCATTTCAATTTGTGTAGCTAGTTTGCTCTCACCAAAGAATAACTTCTGTCATGATTTTAAATGCACATAGACACCTTATATACAGCAGGTCAGGTGTGTGCTGAGGTGTCTATATGGGAAAGATGGGTGGTACCAGTATTTTACAGCATAATCTTACAGCCCCACCCGCGCCCAGTAACAGAACTCAATTTAAAAAAAAATACATTTAGTTATATGAAATCAGATCTGAATTTGAGAGATCATAAATTCCTGCTTTTCCTTATTCCTTTTGTTTTTGAGCCAACACACTAGTCCCCAATCAGTATTACACTAACATTCTGGATACCTGAATTGATTTCTATGGGGCGCCAATCACTTCCCCATTAGGGGAGACCAACATAAAAGGTTTAAAAACAAGCCAAGAAGCTCCTTCTCTAAACAGAGGGAGTTTCACTCTAGACTTCTCTTTGCATAACTGGCTAGAGCTGCTTTCCTAAATATCAGTCACTGCTGTGACTTCATTCATTGGTTATCAACACTGAGAAGACAGAGAAGGCCAGCTTTTCACAAACAAATGAGACTGTATGTTTTGCTTCACCTCCATAAATGCTAGAAACATTTTGTTTAATGGAATCTGAGAGTCGTGGCTCATGTGGGTGGCAACTGCTCCCCCACAGACAACTATAGGGACCAGGTGGGCCTATGAGCATTCTCTAACATTACCCTGCACTGTGTGACTTCTCCTGCCCCTTTGAGCAACTTGTGCTCATAAAATAGTGACTATTTTATGTATAAGTGGGTCCCTGCCTGGAGGTGTGCCTGAAGATTGGCAGGAGAGGTGTTGTTGTAGCTGTGCCACTGAGGTGGATGGAAGGTGGGGCCTTGGGAGTCATCTTGTATGCCGCGTCTGAGCATGCAGAGGGTGTACCCCCATCGTTGAGAGTTCATGCTCTGCTTCTGGATGGGTAGCATGTTGGCATCATTGCCAGCATAGGCACTGATGGGTGGGTTATGACAGGCATTTCTCGCTTTTATGTTTTTTGTACTTTCTCAATGTGCGTCTCCCCCCTCTCCTCCTGGGCTGAGCATACACTGGAAACTGCACAGCTGATGTAGCAGTAGCGTATCTCCTGTCCTGACATAATGAGAGTATAGGATTGCTCTGTTAGTACATAACCAGCTTCACATATAATTCCTTTGTGTAGCCTGAAGTCTCCTTAATTGCATCTTATGTAACTGAAAAATATGCATACTTGTCAGAGAAGAATTTCAGGAAACTCTCTGTCAAGTTTGCAAATTCAAAGGCATGTTGTAGTAAGAAATTAAGCTGCATGTTATTATTTATAATACCTGGGCAGTAAACACTGGGTTGGGCTGGTTATGAAATTCAGAACAGCAATAGTACTGCCCATGCCGTATTCAATTCTTTAAGGACTAACTCTTCCTCTCACAGGAAGTGAAGTGGGTAGGAAAAAAGCCAAATTTCAACATTAATGAAAGATTCTAACACTTCCAAGTCTCTATTTATGGCAGATTGCATCACCCACATTCAATATACTGCATGCAATGTTACTCGCTTTGTCAGCATATTTATTCCTTGAAAGAGAAAAGGCCACACACTCTCAAAATGTACAGCTCACAGCATTTGAGGCCACAGAATATGAAACCACAATAAGCATTAGCAAAGTTCCACATTCTGTACTTTCGTGTGGTTTGTGATTATATCAAGAAGAATCACACAATTCAAGCTCTTATGTGAGAGAGCTCATCACCTATGCTCCACCTAAACAAGTTCTGTGAAGTGGGCATAAACTTTAAGAATAATTTCTGCAAATTCAAAGAAGCGATAGCTGTAAACTCTATACTTGTTTAAAATGTGGCAGCAGGAGGACAGAAATGAAAACGAAAACACACTGGGTGGGTTTAGACATGATAGAACAATGAGTTGTGGTTTATGCACAAGCCTTGAGCTTGTGTGCCCATCCCCTCCCTGTTCCGCTCTAGTGTGAGGAGATAAGCTTTTGCTTCCACTTGCAGAAACACAAATTATCTCTAAACCCTAAACTCTGGTTTATCACAACTATGGTTAGTTGAGATAAGCCAGCTTTGCAACCCATGGTTAGAAGATGGCTTGTTTCAAATACCTATAATTAGGAGGAACCACAACTGTTTGGCTTCTGACTCAATGATAAACTGGCTAGTCTACATCAGAATCAAAACTTCCAAACTCACCTTCCAAGTCATCATGGAGGAAAAGAGAGGAAGGAAGAAGTATGTGAGCCCAGAGGGAGGCTGGGCTCATTCTTTTAATGATAAGCCTTTATTATGCTGTACCGAAATGTGGCCATATTGTCACAGCAAGCCAGAGGTGAGGCACAAGGAAACTCTGCATGAGATGAGAAGCTATTTAGATCAGCTGCTGCTGAAAGATGTTTTTGAGAGCTACAGGCACATTGCAATGTTAACACAAGTGCAGAACACACATAACTGAAGAGGAACTTCAGCAATGGTCTTCATAGCCCCTGCCTTTGAACTTTAAAGCAACTTTACCCATGGCTTATCTTTTTAATCATCTGTGTCGCAAGTATGCAAAACAAGGTTAATTTGTCCAGAATAGATTTACAACTGAGAAGATACCTGTTGGAACCCCAGGTGCCATAATTGCAGTACCTGTCTCATGCTGCTGTTCTCCATTCATCTCCACAGCAATCTGGCAATAATCCTTGGGAGCAGGAAGTAGAGAAAGCCAACCAGTCACTGCCTTGATCTCATCTGCTCTCAGTGTCTTCGCTTCTACAGGCTCCCAGGATGATCAGGCAAACACTGCAGAGGAAAAAAATTAAATGTGTTTTTGTTTGTTTATAACTCCGGAACAACTAAACGTCTCCTTCTTATATTTGTGGAATAAGAACACATTTTAGGGAAAAAACAGAGGCCACATCTATTCCACTTCCAAAAGGCCTCCAATTTTAAATACAATGTAGAATTATCTTTATAGACATGCTGTGATATATTGCCCATGCCTGAAAACGGCAAAAAAGCAGGGTTAAAACAAGTTGATTATTGATGTGTACAGGAATCATTTCACTTACATACATCTTTCTCTTGCCTACTGTACATAAATAACATCTCACATCTATTCTGAATTTTCATGTGCCACTAGAGTTGGGACTAGATTGTATAAAGCAGTTTTATTATAGACAGAACTCAAGTGGTGGTACAAATAAAGTGCTTTTTATGTGAGCAACATCCACTGTATCTTTAATATCTGTCAAATTTTTGTATGAGGAAATCCGAAAATAATTCTAATGCCTTTGGTATAGAGAAATGGCTTTAATTTGCTCTGTAAAACAACATGTATATTTTCAGCAATATACAAGTAGTGTGGTTATTAGCAATAAAGAATACTTTGCCAATGATACTTTCCTGGCAATAAGGCCTTTTGCAAAACTGTGTGCATTTCTCTTGGCAGAGATATGCCAGAACTGCTCAGTTAGCCCTTTTCAGAGAGATGGCGTTAAGCCCTCCCTTTTTAGACAGGTCTTCTGAGTTGTAGAATCCTGCAAATTGTTTTTTGTTGCTCAATTCTTCATGAAATTCATATTGTGCTAATAGCTGAGCTTGAAAAGCATACGACACACCCATAAAATTAATACATATTTAAAGAGCCAAACTCTCTTAACCCAATGAATTTATAGTTTCAGTACCTGGAACAGAAATACTCAACTTGCTTTTATTCTGCTCTTTTAATTATGCATTCAAGCCCCATCATAACAAAAATATAAGATATAGGAATGCTATGACAGGTACAACATCATATTAATCTCTGCTACTCTCAAATTATCCTTCAAGATCCTATTAAGCGGGATTGCCTCCAAATGACTCTTAAGCACCACCTGCTTTTGGAGTTCCCTGATAACATCAAGGAACACTGGACCAAGCTAAAACATCCATTACTGCAGCCTGTGAACAAACTATTGGATACCAAACCAAGAAACACCAGGACTGGTTTGATGAGAATGACAGTGAGACTGAACGCCTTATTGACAAGAAAAGGAAGGCCTTTCAGATCTGGCAAAGAGATAGAAACTGTGCCACTAAGAAAAAAACAAACTATGCCAACACTAAGGCTGAGGTTCAAAGAAGAACCAGAGAACTAAAGAACTCCCAGTGGATAAAAAAGCTCGAGAGATCCAGCACTTAGCCGACACTCATGATGCACAGAGTTTCTTTAAAGCCACAAAGACCATCTATGGGCCAATAAATCATAGCATATGCCCCCTACGCTCAACAGACGGTAAATAAAGGTAAAGGGACCCCTGACCATTAGGTCCAGTCATGACCGACTTTGGGGATGCGGTGCTCATCTCGCTTTATTGGCCGAGGGAGCCGGCGTACAGCTTCCAGGTGATGTGGCCAGCATCACTAAGCTGCTTCTGGCAAACCAGAGCAGCGCACGGAAACACCGTTTACCTTCCCACCAGAGTGGTACCTATTTATCTACTTGCACTCTGACAGACGGTACCACACTTCAAAAAGATAAAGAAGCTATTGCACTAAGTTGGAAAGAAACATTACCAGCATCTCCTTAACTGCAACTCCCCCATAGCTGCCGAGGTCTTCTCACAAATCCCGCAAAAACAAATTAGAGATGAGCTTGCAGTATCTTCAAATTTGGGAGAGTTATGTACATCTATTAACCAAATGAACAACAACAAAGCCAGTAGACCTGATGGGATACTTGCTGAAGTCTTCAAAGTGGGCGGAATTGAATTTACACAACAACCACACCATCTCATCAAAAAAATCTGGGAGAGACAGGAGATCCCAGCAGACTTTAGGGATGCCAAGATTATCAATCTCTTTTTAAAAACGTGATAGAACGGATTGCAGAAACTACTGGGGCATCTCTTTATTAGCTGCAGCTGGCAAAATTCTTGCAGCAAGGATCTTAGCAAACCATCTCCGAACTATATCTGAAGCTACCCTTCCTGAATCCCAAAATGATTTTTGACCTTCTAGGGCAGTGTTTCCCAACCTTTTTTGGGCAAAGGCACACTTCTTTCATGAAAAAAATCTCGAGGCACACCACCATTAGAAAATGTTAAAAAATTTAACTCTGTGCCTATATTGACTATATAAAAGTACAGTGGTGCCTCGCAAGACGAAATTAATTCGTTCCGCAAGTCTCTTCGTCTTGCGAGTTTTTCGTCTTGCGATGCACGGTTTCCCATAGGAATGCATTGAAAATCAATTAATGCGTTCCTAGGGAAACCGCCTTCAGACCAGGTCCGGGGACAGTCTGTCCTCCGACCTCTTCTGAAGGCTGGGGGGGGGGGGACAAGGGCTTTTCTTCCCACTGCCAGCCTTCAGAAGGCTGTTCTGAAGGCTGGCGGTGGGAAGAAAAGCCCTTCTTCCCACCTCCCGCCCCGCAAGCTCCGGGGACAGGAGGGCTTTGCTGCCGACCGCCAGCATTTTAAAAGCCCCTGCTGTCCCGGGGCGATTTTAAAATGCTGGCGGGCGGGAGCGAAGTCTCCGCTGCCCCGAGGAGATTTTAAAATGCTGGGGGTCGGCAGCGAACGCTTCGCTCCCGCCCGCCAGCATTTTAAGATCGCCCGGGGCAGCGGAGAAGTCTCCGCTGTCCCGGGAAGGCAGGCGGGGGGAGCAAAGACTTTTGCCCCCGCCTGCCTTCAGAAGAGGTCCAGGACCTCGTTCCGATGCCCGGCGGCGGGGTGCGAGGTTCCCGCCCCACCGCCCGGCATCGGGGCATCGTTCCGATGCCGGGCGGCGGGGTGCGAGGTTCCCGCCCCACCGCCCGGCATCGGGGCATCGTTCCGATGCCCGGCGGCGGGGGGAGAGGTTCCCGCCCCACCGCCCGGCATCGGGGCATCGTTCCGATGCCCGGCGGTGGGGTGCGAGGTTCCCGCCCCACCGCCCCGCTTCGGAGCAGCGCTCCGAAGCGGGGCGGCTGGGGCAGGTGTTCCCGCCCCCCCGCCCCGCTTCGGAGCACCGGGAGAAGCGATCTCCCCGCAGCCCCTTGCTTCAAAAGAGGTCCGGGGGCAGCGGGGAAGAAGCGCTGCGCTTCCCGCTGCCCCCGGACCTCTTTTGAAGCAAGGGGCTGCGGGGAGATCGCTTCTCCCCGCAAAGCCTTGCTTCAAAAGAGGTCCGGGGCAGCGCGAAGCGCTTCCCGCTGTCCCCGGACCTCTTTTGAAGCAAGGGCGTTGCGGGAGAAGCGATCTCGGGCGCCGCGGCGCGCAGGCGCACTGCTCGCTCCTCTTTCCGCGCAGGCGCCTTCTCTCGCTCTTTCGCCTCCTTTTCTTTCTCTCTCGATGGTCCGCCTACAAAGGAGCGAGGGAGGCGCCCGCCATGTTTGGATTTGCATCCAGCAGGAGATGCCGCCGCCGCCCCGCCTCTCCCGCCTCCCTCCCACGGCACACCAGGCAAGGTCTCACGGCACACCAGTGTGCCGCGGAACACCGGTTGGGAAACACTGTTCTAGGGGACAGTGGACATGATTTTCACTTCTCAACAGCTTCAGGAAAAATGCAGAGACAAAAACCAACACCTGTATATGGTGTTTATTGACCTGAGGCCTTCAACACTGTAAATCGTACTGCCCTGTGGACTGTCCTTCTGAAAATTGGCTGCCCAGATAAATTAGTGAACATCCTTCGGCTCCTCCACGATAATATGACAGCAACAATCACAGATAACAATGGCTCTCAAAGTGAACCATTCACAGTAGAATCAAGTGTTAAACAGGGATGTGTTATCACCCCAACTTATTTATTATTTTCATTGCCATGATCCTACACATTGTCGAAGGAAATCATATACCAAACAGATGGAAAGCTCTTTAACTTGAGTAGGTTAAAAGCAAAGAGTAAGGGTACCACAACTTTCGTCACAGAGCTTCAATATGTTGATGACAACATAGTGTGTACACACTCAGAGGATAACCTCCAAACCATCCTAAATATCTTTGCAGAAGCTTATGGAAGGCTCAGCATCCAAAAGACTAAAACACTGCACCAATAAGCATGTTATTTTAAAGCAGGGGATCTCCAGATGTGGCAGATAGGTGTGTGAGTCCTACAATCTATGGAGAGTCACAAGTTCCTTTCATCCAGGTTCTAGAATGCATTATATAAGGGATTTTATTTTATTTATTTGTTGAAACAGACTCCTTTGGGAGGTTGTGGACTCTCCTTCACTGAAGGTTTTTAAGCAGAGATTGGACGGCCATCTGTCATGGATGCTTTAGCTGAGATTCCTGCATTGCAGGGAGTTGGCCTAGATGACCCTTGGGTCCCTTCCAACTCTAAGATTCTCTGATTTATAATCCATACCTTCATAAAAGCTACTGCTTTCAGTTTTGGTTTCTATTATGTAGTTTTTCTGCTGCTGGATTCTTTCTACTGCTCTTTGTATTGTTTGTTAATTTGGTTTTATATTGCTTTATTGCACTTCATTTTATGATTGTTGTTAGCTGCCTACAGATTCCAGAAGAGCAGAATACACATTTGGATAGGGTATTCAGAACCCTGAAGCAAGTAAGGCCTGGAAGCACTGGCTAAAGAAAAGGCATGGCACCAGAAGTGGTTTCCGTTTTCATGTCAATAGAGCCAACATTAAAAATTGTTTATACAGTATAGAGCAGGCATTGGCAAACTCCAGCCCTCCAGATGTTTTGAGACTACAATTCCCATCATCTCTGACCACTGGTCCTGTTAGCTAGGGATGATGGGAGTTGTAGTCCCAAAACAGCTGGAGGGCCGGAGTTTGCCTATGCTTGGTATAGACTTCCCAAAATTTACTCCCTA